CCCCCCTATAAGATATAGATACGTTCCAATTTATTAGGAATCCGATTTCTTACAAGTCGTTCCAATCACAGCCCGACACGTGTCAAGTTTACGGACTACGGCTGATTGAAAGGTTTTCTTCCATAAAATTAATCGATTCTACACTAATCCGACTCAACATTTCCATAATACGTATATTTTTTCGTAGTTTTATAGGAATCGTAATTATAGGGACCGTAATTATAGGGGGGTCGACTGTATGTCTGATTAACCAAATTATTTTTCTCTTAAATAATTATACATTTCATTTATTTTTTTATTCACTCGAGTAAGTTAAAAGGAATTAAAGCAATTCACTTTTTAATTTATCGACTCTTCTAATTTATAAATTGCAAAAGTTTTGATATTTTTAAAAAGTAAATTTGATATGAAGTCAGCTCGCTCATAGATTGCTGCTGGTACTGTATTGTGGAGTAGTATTGAAAATACATATTTTGCATTTTCCTTCTACAGTAGAGCCTCGATTATCCGACCCCCGATTAACCGACATCTCAATTAACCGACCGTCCTAGTCGGCAAATTTCAAATGTCCGCTAGTGATGTGGTGCTACAATATTTGGCTATGTCTTGGCTACTTTAATATTATTTTTACGTGTTTTAGCTGGAAACACTCATTTGACCATGAAAGGGAGCCAGTATTTAAACGAGACTTAATTTTCTAATTTTTAACGATATAATAGCGACGATTATTATTTTAAAAAATTTTTGTTAGGCTTAACATCGATAAAAATTCAACGCGAAGTAGGTTAATAGCGATATACTAATATACTAATTACATGGGATATAATAATATACTAGAGGAGAAGGTGGTATTATGGAACCCCAATTACATTTTAGTGAATTGTAAACAAGGTATCATAACTACACCCACATTTATGGAATTATGGTATTTATGGTATTATGGAACCCCAATTACATTTTAGTGAATTGTAAACAAGGTATCATAACTACACCCACATTTTTTGTGCGAAAAGAACTGGTAACTAGTAATCTAAATGTTCCTAATTGAATTTTTCGCTAGTGTAACTATAAGTATGATTTTTGAAGGCTTTTGTACAAAAAGTCCGAAAGTAGGCTTAGAGAAAATCTGGTGGTAATATGGAACCTTACTGTATATTTTCAAAAAAATGCTTTAATGTAGCCAAAAACAAATAGGAAAGGACAAAAAATGTTAAATAATTACCAAATTATTTACTCCAATGTATTTTATCGAATGAATGCTTTTATAATAGAAAAATATGACCTCCATCAACAATATATATTCCAGCAGCTCTTTTTTGATATTCTCAGGAAGAATTGGCTTTCTACCTAGTGTCTTTTTCACAAATTGCTCTGGAGGAATGTCTGCTTGCAAAGAGAGAGTTCGGAGGAGTTGAGTTCCATATTACTGTAAAAGCACCAATGGGGTCCTTATTTCACGCATCGCCATCTTGAATTAACTTATGTCTGTCAAGACAAAAATTTAAAAAACGTGAACATCACACAGATTAATATGTACCCCTAAGTCTCTGGAACGAAATACATGCACCAGTGAACCTACAACTACACGATTTATGTTTTAAAAATAATTAAATTCACTTAGCATTCAAAACTTGCGAATTTTGAAAAAACAAATTTGCTGATTAAATGCGAACAACCGTTTAACTGAAGTAAAACGGTTTTTCCCCTTGCTATGGATGTCTGCCTAGTTCAGTTCAGCCACATTCCGCTACAGTTCGCCTTTATTATCAGTTCGAAATGGGGTGGTTCCATAATACCCGCAGTGTTCCATAATACCACCTTCTCCTCTACACTAATAATGGATTATTTCATACTTTTCGGTTATCCGACTTTTCAATTATCCGACCAATCCCAGTCCCCAATTGAGTCCGATAATCGAGGCTCTACTGTATTTACTTTTTTCTTCTTCTGATCCCTTTGTTTTTTTCAAAGTTGTCTTTTCTCCAAAATTACTATGTAAGAGTCCAAAATTTTCTCATTCAATGAATTTTCCTCTTTCAAAACGTCATTCGATTCTTTAGACTGGCATTTTGTATCAGTGTAACGGCGATGTCGTAAAGTATAGACGTTGTTAAACGAGTTTCTTGAATTCTTTTTTCTCAAATTGTCTTCTGATAGAAGTTCGATTTCTTTTATACTTGATTTAAACAACTTTAAACAGAAAAATAAATTATTAAAGTACCAAAAACTTATAAAATGATAGTAAATAAAGAAACTTTATTTATGTACGGTCCGTTTAAAATTTTAGGAGCAACACAACTTTCTGAAAATATATAACCAAATTGTCTTTATCATAGACAATTGTGGATTGCCTCATATCTTCGCACATGTTTGTCAACCCGTTCATAAATTAGGCCCATTCGTAATAATCGAAATTATGGCTGGACGAGGCTCATGCAGAGCAGTTTTAACAGAGTAAGATGTAAAAACAACACATTTGTTTTTCATAACCTAGTTTATTAATTTTTACAGTATAGTTATATAATACGGAGTAACACAATACATTAGTCAATCAATTATTCTAACATTTATACACATATTAATTCATAATTTCTATATATAAGTACTTTATGTCTTATAAAATAATTCTTTTTTTCAGAAATCGTAGTAAATGCTAAATCGGAATTTACTAGTATGGCTTGTAGATACGTATTGAAGAAGTATATATTAGGAAAAGAAGTTGAAATAGAAATTGTTCAAGATACAGATACTGAAGAATGGATTGCAAAATGCCCTATTTTTCGAAATGGTATTCATGTTTTGATCGGTTTCCAGTTTGACAGCAATATTATGACACATATATTATGCGCTGTTATAAAATATAAGTAATGTAAGATTTCACACAGAACTACAACTGATATATATGTTTATTTAAAGCCAATTAAACTTTATGATTAACTTCTTTCTTTTCCTACTCTTTTTTTTTTCTTCTTAATTTTCTGTAGTTCAACAAATAACAAGTGTTGATTCAATACAGTTGAAAACTTTAAATAAAGTTTGCTTTAGATATCAGATCATTTTCCCCATATAAATCTGAAGTTCGGTTAATAAATTTCTTGTAAATAAGGAAAATACATAGACACATTTAGTAGCATTTTCTAATTTCATGATAAACACATATTCTTAGTTTTGACACGAATGACTATTCTAGGAGATTTTGTTTCTTTCTTGTTAAGTAATTTTAATACATATTTACTTTATTTGTAGCTCTAGAGAAATATATACGAATAACGTATCTCATAAAAATAACTATTAGAAGCTTTCTAATATGTTTCATGTTCGAATAATGACCAATACTTATAGAAAGAATTGCTTTTAAAAATAAATATGTAATTCTGGATGAAGAATATAAAGTTGTGTGAAGAATATAAAAGAGAGGAACTTGGAAAAGTTTAGTTTTCTGAGTGCATTCATGTAAATGCCATTGACTCTCATAGTCCAGCTTGATGTTATTAATTGTAAAAGATACTGTATAAAAGAAAATCTTTCTGAAGTCTCTTCTTTAATTTTTCATACTTACAGCTTTGTTTAATAAATATCAAAAAGATAACTTTTGTGTTTAAATTCTAGACTTTCAAAAATGTCATTAATGACTGTCCTTAGAACAATATTTAGTAAAATGAATTCACCGTACTGCCTTATATATCGCTTATTTTAAATAGTTTTTATTCATTAAAGCTGTTGAAGGACAACCGCATGTCATATAGTTATAAGTGATAGATTATTGATTTATTCTTCTACCTTCAAAATTTGACATTGAAATAAAGATGTCTCTAGACCTTCTGCAGAAACCTCATAATGCATGTGTTAAGTCTACTAAAACAGTAAGTTAATAGTACAGAGTAATTAAACTATAATGGAAGACAATACAACTAATCTATTCTGATCTCATGCATTAAATTTTTCATTGTAAACTATATTTAATGCAATGAAATTCAATAAACACTTATTGATGAGATTGGTAGAACATTATATATGCTATGATTGCTATCAATATGTTATCAAGAGACAGGCTTTACAGAAATTAAGAGAAGCTCAAGTCGGGTGTATAAAATCATTGAACGCTGCTAATTAGTCGCAGTCGCAGGTTTGAGCTTCGCCAACAGGCTAGCTACGTGGAGTTTTTCGGGTTTACTTTATGTGTTTAATACCTAAATAGGATCAGTTTTCCATAAAAAATCCTCCCGGAAGGTATCTCCTTTAGTAGATCACTTGTATGTTACGTTGCCTCATTCCATCGATCCTATCCACTTGCCTTTCTTTAAAATCCTCAGCACATTAAAAAACAACGTAAAAATTATATAATTTATAATTTGAGTCACCATGAAGTGTTGATATTAGACACGACATTTTCACATCTACTTTATTCTCTATAGTGTATAAACCAATTGTTTAAATGCCAATGCGCGTTTCGGACTAGCACCCCTCATCTTTTGAATGATATAAGTCAGGGGTGGCCAACCTTTTGCATACCATGCGCCAATTTTTTGATAGACGAGTTTAGATGCGCAGTGGCGTACCGTGGGTGTTAGTTGCCCGGGGCGGAGAAAAATTTCGGCCACCCCTTAATTAGGTATTTCAATTTATAAGACGAAAATTCAGTTTTGCCACAGCACAAGCAATGAAAAATGCGGTTGTAGTGTAGTTACCCGTATAAAATAGTTCTATACGATATTAGTGGTGTACATGAACACGAATGTATTGTGTATCGTACAGGGGGAAAAAGCTCAACAGGTATCGCAGGAACTACTCGGGAAAAGACGTTAGCGGTCCAATCCGATTCCTGGACTGTCCGGACGGTAGCACTGTCGTGGGACGTTAGCACTGTCATTTAGACACCTGTAAACTGATCGATAATAAACATACATGCATGCACTGTAATTTACTAAGTGAAGAACACTCATTTTATCTGTAAAGTTGATTGCAACGAATTGTGCAACAAATGAACTTGCCAAGATAGACTATAAAAAATTAATTTTCTATGTAATATTCTTAATTGCAAAGAAGCCAAATCTGGCAATGTTGCTCAGAACTGACTAAAGCGCCACTTGTAATCGTCCAATGCGCCAAGTTTGGCGCATGCGCCACGTTTTGGCCACCCCTGAT